GCAGATTTGTGGCACGCTCATGGGCACAACTCAGAGAAGTACCTGCTCAGGGAATGGTTCAGAAAAGTAATTTTTTTTTGTTTATAGACTGACTAGACCAGCTACACGCTTTTAGGTAAGCAGCAAAGTTTCAGCATTCCTTATTTTCTACCACAGGAACAGCAATTAAATTAGAGTTAATTTGGCTGGGCTGTTTTTTTCTGTAAATGATCTTTTATTTTAAATGATTATCAAAGACGTCTAGACGACATAGTAATAAATTAATATGGAATAATGCATACTTAAAGCAGGGATGTCTGTTGGGGAAATGTCAAAAAAGTGAAGATGGTGGGCCCAACCATGTAATCAAAACTCTGCCCTTTTTCTACTTGCATGCAACCTGTACAACACAGGTAAATCAAATGGTTGGGCCCACAATCTTGATTATTTTGATTCCCCCCATGGATGCCTCACTTAAAGCCAGAGACAAAGTATTCAATATACACAAGCAATTTTGTAAAGTGTGCTCACTTACTCTCATTGTGTCACCTCTCATACCAGCATGAACAGAGAGAGAACACTGTCGTGTTGTTCGAATACTCTCCATGACCACACAAAGAACTGTTCTACTACTTTCTCGTGACTGACGAACAAGGCAGTGTTCAAAATCCACTTTTCTAAAATAACAAAGAAATAATTCTCAGAGTCTTGCATTATTCCTATTTATGATATCTGAAGACTCAATTATTGGATTTGGGTAATATTCATATTTCTCAAAACTCATTTGTAGAGTGCAGGTATAAAGTAAGCAAAAGCAGCAAGGTGATAAAAAAAATTATCATACGAACCTACTAGTTAATTCTCTGAGCAATGTCGGTACCTCAACCTCATGTTTAGTTACAATACCGAAAGAAGCCTTCACTGCAAGGGAATCTGATCCAGCAATACTGACCCCAGAAGAGTTCATGATGTGATTTCCTTGCCTGCCATTGAGTGCTACATCAGATTTGTCTTCATAATTTAGTAATTGATAGGATGAAATACCTAAGGGGAAAAGATGGCTTATTGGTATCTTTAAAAATCATTATATTCATATATATTAACAGACATGGCAGACTTAGGGAACAAATAAAACCAATCTTGGAATCCTTTGATGAATTTCAGACTATACTATCCCAGCTCAAATATGGTAGAAAGGGTTTTGTATTTCTGTTTTTTTTCCCTTTTTCTGAAATACAGAAAATGTTCCAGATACACACAAAGAAGGTTCCAATACACTTATCTTATTCCATCTCTTTCCAGAGCATATAATTTGCAATGGTAGAAAATGTTACGTCATTTATTATAACTTGAAAGAATTTTAATTATTATTAGCCCAAATTGCAAGCAACAAAATTCCCTCTCTGCAGAATCAAATAAGATTTCATGATGTGGTAAGTTAACATGTTTGGACCTAAATCACAGAATCCAATGATATATGGAGATAAAAGAATTTGGATTGCACCCAAACTCAGCTAAGACTACCTTTTTGCTTTAATTGCAATGGCATCTAATCACAACTAATCTAGGCTGGGTCCTCTGGATCAGTAAACACTCTCTACAAGACTGTGAGCATGTGCGATCTGATGTTAACCTTAGTTTTTGTTTTTGTTTTAGGCTTGGGCTAAGCCACCTGGAAAGATGCCTTGTGAACCCCTTTCCAAATCCAGTGCATGAAGTATCATGGGCCATATGTCTTATCATGCACATACACACGGCCAACATTTCTGCTGGAACTGCTGCAGCTGGGCCTTGAAGCAGCCAACCTGAGCCTTTGAGAAGATGTGGCACTTTAACCCTGTGCACCCTAGGACCCTGTGCTTGCTTCACAAAGCTCTGCTCTGAATAGCTTTACAAAGACCTTCCACTTTTATAATAAACACTACCAGCAGGATGTCTCTGTATGAGGCCGGGAAGCACGCTCTCTTCTAGCAGTTTCCTTCTTTATGAGGATATGAAAAATGCATTTCTAGAAAACGAAACATGCTTCCCTATCATTTCGTTTAAGGCCAAATTACAACTTTGGAAAGCCAGGCAGCTAACATAAAAGGAGGAAAGAGTGTTATATGGAAACAGCATTGTAATGCAGGTGAATTAAGTTCTGTAAGAAAAGATATGTCACATTTCATTGGTTATAATAAAATGTATGAACTTGTATAATTAAATATTCATTTTGCAGTATTAAGGGTATCTGTTACCAAGTAAATCCTATCGAATTCATAAGACATAGGCTTATGTCTAAACAAACATATTAAAATTCACATTGCAATCCAGTATTACATATTTATCCTATTACACAGAACAGATTACATAAATAAAACCAATAAATGTTTTAATAACAAAAAGCAAGTTCTTAAAATGTATTCCTCAGCTTTCCAATCTTGTAATGAATGCACTAGCACTTAAAAAAAACCATTTCTTTATATCAAACTATTTCTTTTCCTTAACAACAGTTTTGCCTTTTTTTTAAATGCTGCTTTGTTTTCTATTTTTTTGTTCAGCAAATTACATATAGTTTTATAAGCTTTGAAGGACTTTAAAGGACTTACCTGCAGAAATTTCTTTCTCTCCTTGAAGAATGTCTTTTAGGCTGAATGGTGTTGAAATAAATTTTGAACTTTTAGAAAGAAAGCAGTTTTTCTTCTTGATAACAAGACTGAGGGGTTGATATTTATCAGCTTCACTGAGGCTACGGACAGGAACTAATCGACCTCCATCACCAACCTGCTTAACAAAACTTTTAGTAGCAGCAGCAAACATATTATGCGTACACATTAAAAAAATAAAACTCTTTATCAACTCTTGCAATTTCCAAACCACAGAGCCATATTAAAACTTTTCTAAGTTGATCAGTATAGGATAAAAGCCCTACTTTGTCCTGAAGTTCGTTACGTTTAATTGAAAGGGAAGCATTGGCATTATTCTAATCACCCTTTTCCAGTGTATATTCAAGAACTCCTTTTCATTGTCCAGGTAGAGTCATGATAATTAATAATAAATTAACAAAGTAAACTGATAGGACACAGTTAGAGCAATACCCTTCTGTAGTACCATTCTAGCTTCCACATTACTTTCATACAACATAGAAAAACTCCTGTTTTTAATTGCAATTAATTTTTAAAATGATTGTTACTGTAACATATATCATGAGTGGGATTTTCTTGTCTAATCTCTGTGTTCATTTCTACCATGACACTAATTCAACCCAAATTTACTTCAGTAGGGATTCCCAGTTAATCTGCATAATTTTGAGGTCGCTGTATATTGCAGTTCAACTGAGGTGTCTACTTTCGAGAATTTTACGGAACTCCAGACATCTTCTGTCTGTACCCCACTCATGTTTTCCCATCCTTTCTTCAGTCTTTCTTTCAGACTTAAATATAAAGTAAACAAAAAGATAACCAATTACCAAAATTATCTTTCTTCCATTTTTCCATGTTGATTCAACATTTAAACAATGAAGTATACCTTGGCTATGCAGAATTTTATCTATTTATCTGTCTTTTATATATACGTACACATAGATATAGATGCATAGATATAATTTAGGTATTTTAGGCATTTTTTATCTTGACTTCCTAGATACAAATACTAAAAATACTAATTTTCTTTTTCATTTTTTAAATTTTCTTTGTGTTGTATTTTGTCTTTGCTTTTGTTTTTTGGGTTTATTTTTTCTCTTCACCATGTGACTTTTTTATACAGATATTTTCTTTTTTAAGTGATAAAGCTCCTTCATACAATAGTAATACAGTCACACTGTTATATTAATGTCACAATTAACTTCCTTAAAAGAGATGTTAATTGAAATGCTTTTGAAGTTACTTGCATCTACTTTTGCTCCATCCCCAGTGGTGAGTTATATTCACACCTTTTGACAGGAGACCCAAACCACACCTGTGATATTAACGATGGACCATATTGTAGGGCTGCTGTAAACCATTATTTAGATCAACATCCAACTTGCAGTGTTAATACTGAATGATACTGCCGCCTTGCAGTACCATACTCTCATCCTCCACATAACCTACAGTGCGGAGTTGTTGCACGTGCTTTCTCCAGTATCAGTATGGCTTCCAACTTCCAATACTAATAATGAGTTACACTAGATAGCATATTAAAAAGCAGAGACGTCACCTTGCCAACAAAGATCCGCATAGTCAAAGCTATGGTTTTTCCAGTAGTAATGTATGGCTGTGAGAGCTGGACCATAAAAGAAGGCTGAGCGCTGAAAGAAATTGAATGCC